TTGTGCTTCTTATTCCCTATACTTCTCCCCCCATATTCCTCTTCTTCCCCTCCCCCCAGGAAACCTCCACATGATGTCCATTTCTCTGATTCTGTTCCTGTTGTAGTTGTTTGCTTAGTTTTTGTTTTCATGTTTTTCTTTTTTTTTTAATGTTCATTTGTTGATAGTTGTGAGTTTGTTGTCATTTTACTCTTTATAGTTTTTTATCTTCTTCAATTTATTAGATAACATTATCTAATAGTGTTATCACTTTACCATTTCATACAATAAGGGCTTGGTGATGATGAACTCCTGTAACTTGACCTTATCTGGGAAGCACTTTATATGTCACTCCATTCTGAATGAGAGCTTTGCTGGATAGAGTAATCTTGGATGTAGCTCCTTGCCTTTCATGACTTAGAATGCTTCTTTCCAGACCCATGTTGCTCGCAAGGTTTCTTTGGAGAAATCAGCTGACAGCCTATGGGCACTCCTTTGTAGGTAACTGTCTTCTTTCCTCTTGCTGCTTTTAAGATTCTCTATTTATCTTTAATCTTGAGTAACTTAATGATGATGTGGCTTGGCGTGTTCTTCTTTGGGTCCAACTTATTTGGGACTCTCTGAGCTCCTTGGACTTTCTGGAAGTCTATTTTTTTTCCAGATTGGGGAAATTTTTCTTTATTATTTGTTCAAATAAGTTTTCAAATTTTTGCTCTTGTTCTTCTCCTTCTGGCACTCATATAATTTGGATATTGGAACATTTAAAATTGTCCCAGATGTTCTTAAGCTTCTCTTCATTTTTTTGAATACTTGTTTCTTCATTCTGTTCTGGTTGGATGATTATTTCTTTCTTTTGTTCCAAACCATTGTTTTGGGTCCTGGTTTCCTTCCTGTCACTTTTGGTTCCCTAAGTATCTTGCTTTGTTTCACTTTGGGTATCTTTCATTTGCTCTTTCATTTTGTGACCAAGCTCAATCAGTTCTTTGAGCATTTTGATTACCAGGGCTTTGAACTCTCTATCAGATGAGTTAGCTATCTCCTCATCACTTAGCTCTTTCTGGAGTTTTGCTCTATTCTTTCTTCTGGGCCATATTTCTTTGTCTCGTGTACCTGCTAAGTTGTAAGGGGGTGGTGTCTTAGATATTCACTAGGGCAGGGTAACCCTGCTTGCTGTGCTGTGGTGCTATCTGTGGTGGAGGGGCCAGAAAAGAAACAGTGCTGCTTGTCTGTAGCCCGCTTTCCAACAAGCCCTTGTGTGAGGTTGAAAGTTATTCCCACTGAGGCAACCCTTGTGTAGTCCAAAGTCAGCTCTGAGTCTCAGTTTCCCATTCAGCAAGCCCTGCCCACATGGTCAGGTACATTGCCACAGGTTCTCTCCGTCGTCCTGCCTTACTGGTCTAGTTAGTCTGGTTGACTGTTTCTTGGTTGTAAGAGTTCTATGCAGTGTGATTTTCTAGTACTTCTTGTTGTTCATTGATTTTAGATTGGTTTCTATACTCCTTTTGGTTGTGGGAGGAAGCAAAGGGTGTCTTCCTATGCCTCCATCTTGGCTGGAACTCTACTCTTTGCTGTTGTTGATGGTTTCTACATCCTTTTTCATGTTGGTTTAATTCACATTACATTTCTTGTTGCTTCTTTGTAGTTTTTGGTAATTCTTACTGAGCTCACTGTGCTTCCTTATAACCATTGTTTTGAACTCAACATCTGATAGTTGACTTGCCTCTATTTCTGAGGATTCCTCCTTTCTTTTTGTTCAGGCATTGGTTCTTTGTCTTCCCATTATTTGTGAGACTCTTTTTATTTGGCTCTGCTTCTTAAATTGATTTGTTTTGACTCCCTGAGTTTGTGGTATGAACTTCTATGATAGGAGATTTGTGAGATTCGGTGGTGAGATTCAGTGAGATTCACCTTGATCTCCTGATCTTGATGTTCTTGGGATGCCCTTTATGCAGTTTATGTTGGCTCTTTGGGTGTAATTGGGTTTTAATTGTAGTTGGTTTGTTATTTGTTGGGTCCTTCCCTTCAGCTGGGTGACTGAGGGTCACTCTGATCACCATGTCTTGTATTGCAAAAAGCATTTTAAAAAGTAACGTGGGGTATAGTGATCATTCAATACTCTGTCCTTGACTGAATGTTCATAATAGAAGCCTACTACCCTGATATGTTCACTGTTAATAAAGCTTTATTATATTTCTTATAAATTTACTTTGCATGTTTGCTTTCCAACTTCTACAGCTACATTTTTTGTCTTAGTAATGAAGTTAGTTCTGCCTTTGTCTTAATTATTATGAAGATTTTTGTCACCTTTCTGAAGTCTTCATCTTTCTTGAAAGAGACTTAAAAATTTTTTCCCTCTTCCACTGGTTAAGTTCTTTTAAGGCTTTCATTTTGTTGGTTCCTTTGAAGACCCCACTTTTTCCTCATTGGCAGAAGCTACCACAAGCTCAGTGAGCTGTGTGCAAAAATAGTTAGTTAGAAAGTGACAGAGACCCAGATGGCCCTTGCAAGAAAATGAGTGAAAAAATTTAAATTGTATATAAAATGAGATATAGTCTTTACAAAGAATATATCAGTATATATGCATTACTAGAAAAAACTCAAATTTTTTAAATGGAATGAAAAAGAATATAAACTATTTATATAAATTTTAAAATACACAAGCAATTGTATATACAATTTATAGATAAATGCATGGATATAAAAACATGCTGGAATATTATATACCAACTCTAGTATATCCAAGGATGAGTTGAGGGTAGAGTGGGCTTTAACTTTATTTGTCAAGTACTATTTCCTCCCTAATATTTTATTATGAAAAGGTACCAATATACAAAATTATTTTAACAGTAAACACCTTTATACCCATCATCTAGATTCTACCATTAACATTTTACTGTTAATTTCACATCTATCCATCTGAAGCTTGATAAATTTTACTTCTTTTTATGAAAGGAAGCAAATATAGAAAATGTTCACACCATTTAATCTCAGTGGTAGATGCACAGATATATTTTATATCAATTATTATGAGTTTCTGTACTTTTGAAATTTTATATAAAGTCAAATAAGTGATACTAAAATAATATATACAAAAGTGAGTGGCTGGAGTTAGCTGAATCACCAAGCTTTTTTGGGAATATACTTAAGGCCTGAAGTCCTGTATATATTTCTATATAATAAAGTTTGAAGAGATTTGTGGAAATTTAATTTTGCACCTTTGTTCTCCATTTCTTCATGTTAATATCTATTACCATCTAGTGTTCTTTCATTCCAGTGTAAAGTACTTTCCTTAATATTAATTTCAGGAAAGATTTGCTAGTGATAATTTTTTTCAGTTTTTATTTATCTGGAAATGTCCTATTTCTGTTTCATTTTGGAAGGATAGTTTTACTGGATAGAAAGTTCTTGGTATACAATCTTCTTTCAGTACTTGAATATGCCATACCACTACTTTCTGACCTTCATTGTGTGTGATAAGAAGTCAGCTGTTAATATTATCAAGGATCCTTTGTTTAAAATCTGAGTTTCCTCAGGGACAGTTTCTATTCATTGATTATTTTTCTTGTGTTTTTTTTGCATGTCTCATAATTTAATTTTTTTTTGTAGAAACTAGGGATTTTAAATAATACAATGTGGCATTCTGGAAATCAAATTTCTCTCTTCTTCAGGATTTATTGTTGTTGCTGGGTTTCGTGATTGTTTGCTTTAATGACTTTTCTAAACTAAATTCATAAAGTCTATATTCTTTGTCAAATATGGCCACTAAATCTGCTCACTTTAATTTTTAGATAGCTAATCACTAGAAAGAGATTTCCTTAAATTCCTGGAACTAGTCTTTGCTGAGGGGCTCTGTTTTTGTGTGGGGAATCTCTTTAACATGCAGCCAGGTACTTAGTAATTCTGACTTAGCTTTCACTTCCTACTTGTGCATAGCTTCAGGCTAAGCCAGTATTTCAAACTAGGGCCTTTTTACATCTTTTTGAGCAGGGGATTAATCCTTAACAATGAACAGAGCCCTATGAATACAAGTAGCCTTCTAGATTCTTCGAAATATGTTGCAGTTTATGTAAATTCCTATGAACATCCCATTTCTTAGCTTTTCCTTTTAAGCTTTTGATTGGCCTACTCTTTGCCCCCAATGTTATTACTGCCCCGGGAAACCATGTTGTTAAACAATTGCCTCTAATTGTTTTTGACAAATGACTCAATGGAGGAGGCATTTTCCCCTGAATCAGGTCAAATAAAGACAGTCTTAGGAGTTACCACTTCTAAGGAATGACCAGAAGGTTAGTATAATGATTGTTCTCTGGGAATGAGGCTGTGAGGGAGACTCAGAGTGGTTTTGCCCTCTCTCATGGCTATCAGGCTACTGGTTTTGACTGTGACTGTGAGCTGTTTGTTTTCAAAACTACCATGGAGATAGAAATAGAGCAAGTTAAAATGCCACAAAGCCACTGTTTATAAAGCTATTTTTTGTTTGCTTAAAAAAATACACTCCCTAGGTTGTTGAAAGCCTCTGATTATTTTCCAGGGTTTTAAGTAGTTGATTCTGATTTTTTTTTACAAGTTCTTACAAAAGAACACGTTTATTGTTCTTTCATGAAAGAAAAAAATTTTCAGAGGTCCTTACTGTGCCATTTTCCCTGATGTCATTAAGTCTTCATATTTTTAGTTGATTTTTGGGTAAATTTCATAATTTACTAAAATGTGTGTCTGTACCTTCAGGATCTGGTTATCTTCATACATAAAATTTTCTCTCTTAAACAAAATGTACTTTTAAAAAGAATTTTTTTCTGTTTCAAATACAACTGGTATTTTCCAAAGGGTAGAACTGTAAATAAAGCAGAGATATTTGTCTAAACCACTTCTGTACTTTTCATGTATGACCAAGGCCTATATGATTGAGGGGGCAATAGGTAAACTTACTTTTCTAGGGTGACAGATATATTAACATTAGATTAATTGATTTTGACCATAAGCTCAATGTTTGGCTAAAGCTTTTGAAAATTCTCTTTTAACAGAATGCAGAGTCTGGATGAGCCATGGACTGAGGAGGAGGGTGATGGCTCAGATCACCCATACTACAACAGCATTCCAAGCAAGACTCCTCCTCCAGGGGGGGTTATTGATTCTCGACTGAAAGCCAGACCCCATGCCCCTGACACAGTCCAGGTAATTGTTATACCTTTTTCTTTGGAAGCTTGATAACTGAACTTTATTCTGTTCATTTTTCTCACCTTTATATTCAGGTTGGTGTTCTGTCCACTTGATAGAATAACTCATAAACTTTTTCCCTATGGTTCTAACAAAGCAGACAAATAAGGGAGGATTTTGTTTTAACATCATGAGGTGTTGGTCAAATGCCTTCAAAGTATATTGTGACTCTTGAGAGAGTAGTCTAAGTATTAGTTCTCCATCCTAGGACAAATTGCATTATACTGCAATCCTAATGAGGAGAAGATAGAGTTTAAGACTTTTTAAAAAGCCTAGATACTTTGGTTTCTCTGAGCAGATAGTGGACATAGACCTTTAAAATGGTCAGAATTTTATGAGTTTTTTTAGGTTAGCCATTTTCCCTCCAACTCAAAATTCGAGTAAGGCAATTCTAGTAAGGCAATTGTTTTCTAGGGTTATGTCATCTCTACTTTGTAATAGAGAGTTTAATGTCACTTACTTTATGTGAATAATTACACTAATAATACTGTCAAAATGATATTGAAATGAAGTCAGTAGCTCTGACACTGAGAGGGAATAGACTGGGTGGATTTGCTCAGGTGTGTTGGATTGGCAGTGTGTTCTAATACATAGACGCTCTAACTGAAATTTATTTTAGGGCAAGTTGAGTGATGCAGCTGTGGACAGAAGAGCTCAATTCATGTTCACATTTGGGGGAATTGTTGGAAATAATGAAAATAAGGGTGGGGATGAACAATTTCATTGAGATATAATCTCTTACTTATGCCCATACAAACTTATTTCTTAAATCTCAATGCCAACTGTGAGGCATGGAGGGAGAACTGAATGTAATCAGGGATGCAATCACTTAACCACTGATTGATGTCCCTTCTACTATACTATAGCTTTTGGAAATGGGGAAACAAGAAGAGCGTAATTTTTTCTCTTTGTATCCATAGTTTTCAGGAAAAGAGCAAACTTATTACCAGGGAAGACACTTAGGAGACCCATTTGGTGAAGACTGGCAGCAAACACCTGTCAGGCAAGGTGAGAGGCAAGGTAACAAGGGCAAGAAACAAAAAAAATATGAAAGTCATGTGTTGTTTTCCAGTCCCCCTTGCCCCTCCTCCATTCTTTAGAGATCACTGATTTGCTTTATATCCTTATATAGATTAGTTCACATTTTCTAGAATTTTATATACATATAATTATATGTGATACATTCTTTTTTATTTGACTTCCTTTCACTTAGCAAAATTATTTTTAGATTCACTCCATTGCTGTATGTATCAATAGATTTTTTCTTTTTATTAATGACTAGTATTTCATTGTATGAGTATCTTACACCATGTTTACATATTGATTGATATTTATTTTCAATTTGTGGGCAAAGGGAAAGTTTATTTCCACCCTATAAATAAGTTGGTTTGAACATTCATGTTATAAAAATACCCAAACAAAAGTAATGTCTCCCCAGTGTAGTTCACCTAATGAGAAATTAACAGAAAAGCCCACTGGAAAATCTAGTGAGGATAGGATAACAGATTCTTGACAAGCTCATAGAAATATATAAAGTAAAGGAAACTTCTGGCCAAGATGGAGACATAGATAGATACACTTTGCCTCTTGCACAACCAAAAGGTCAACAGTAAATTAAAAAAAAAAAAGAAAAAACAGAACTGCCAGAAAATTGAACTGTGTGGAAGTCTGACAACCAAGGAGTTAAAGAAGAAACATTTCTCCAGACCAGTAGGAGGGGTGGACATGGGCAGTTAAGATGGAGAGGACTTGAGGCAAGGCAGCAGCTGGAGGACTGGGCAAGGAGGTGGCTGGCAGAGCGGGCAGTCCCACATCTGCATGTGCATAAACCAGGAGGAACAACTGGGGAGTGAGACAGACCATGCAACCCAGTGTTTCAGCCCCAGGAAATAAAGCCTCAAATCTTCTGACTGAAAACAACATTGGGGATTGGGGTGGAAGGAGAAACTCCTAGCCTTACAGGACAGTTCATTGGAGAGACCCACAGGGTCCTAGAACATGCACAAACCACCCACCCAGGAATTAGTACCAAAAGGGTCTAATTTGCTTGTGGGTAGTGGAGGAAGTGACTGAAAGATGGCTGAGAACTGAACAAGTGGCACTGTCCTCTCTCAAGCCCCTTTCCTACATACAGTGCCACAACACAGCAAAGTGGATTGCCCACCCTGGTGAATACTTAAAGCTCTGCCCCTTACTAAGTAACAGGTGTGCTGAGACAAAAAATATGGCCCAAATGAAAGAACAAATCAAAACTCCAGAAACAATACAATTAAGTGATTAAGAGATAGCCAACCTATCAGATGCAGAGTTCAAAACACTGGTTATCAGGATGCTCACAGAAATGGTTGAGTACAGTCATAAAATAGAGAAAAAAGTGAAAGCTATGCAAAAGGAAATAAAGAAAAATCTACAGGGAACCAACAGTGAAGGGAAGGAAACTGGGACCAAAACCAACGATTTGGAGCAGAAAGAAGAAATAAACATTCAACCAGAATGAAGAAACAAGAATTCAAAAAAATGAGGAGAGGCTTAGGAACCTCCAGGACAACTTGAAACATTCCAACATTTGAATTTTAGGGGTGCTAGAAAGAGAAGAAAAACAGCAAGAAATGGAAAACTTATTTGAACAATTAATGAAGAACTTCTCTAATCTGGGAAAGGAAATAGACTTCCAGGAAGTCCAGGAAGCTCAGAGAGTCCTAAAGAAGTTGGATCCAAGGAAAAACATACCAAGGCACATCATAATTACATTACCCAAGATTAAACATAAGGAGAGAATCTTAAAAGCAGCAAGAGAAAAGGAGACAGTTATCTATGAAGGGAGTTCCCATTAGACTGTCTACTGATTTTCTCCAAAGAAACTTTGCAGGCAACAAGGGCCTGGGAAGAAGTATTTGAAGTCATGAAAAGCAAGGACCTAATTCCAATATTACTCTGTTCAGTAAAGCTCTCATTTAGAATGGAAGTGCAGATAAAGTGCTTCTCAGATAAGGTCAAGTTGAAGGAGTTCATCATCACCAAGCCCTTACTATATGAAATGTAAAGGGACTTATCTAAGAAAAGAAGATCAGAAATATGAATAGTAAAATGAGACCAGATTCACAACTATCAACAACCAAACCTATAAAAACCAAAACCAAAAATGAACTAAGAAAAGAACTAGAATAGGAACAGATTCACAGAAATAGAGATTGCATGGAGGTTATCAGTGGGGAGAGGGAGGGAGGAGTTGGAGAAAAATGTATAGGGAAAAAGAAGCATAAGTCGTAGGTACAAAATAGACAGGGTTAAGAATAATAGTGTGGGAAATGGAGAAGCCAAAGAACTTATATGTATCACCCATGGACATGAACTAAGGTAGGGAAGTGCTGGTGGGAAGAAAGGTACTGAGCAGAAGGGAATAAAAGGGAGAAAAAATGGGACAACTGTAATAGCATAATCAATAAAATATATTAAAAATAAATAATTAATAAATTTTATGTAAAAAACAATATATAAAATCATGAAATCATCACATCGTATACCTTAAACTTACATGTTATATGTAAGTCAACATATGTACATGCATTTTATTAATGTCTCAATAAAGCTGGAGAAAGAAAAAAAGAAGTGTACAAAGCAAGGGCTATGAGGATGCCATACATCAGCCGATGCCTCCCCTGGCACCAGGACAAGTTCATGTCTTTCAGCAGTTACTGTTCTCAAGTACCCTGAAGACTCTCTTCCTGGCAGGAGGCCTGAGGAACTTACCTCTCCAATGGCACCTCTACCATTTCAACTGGGAGTTGGTTGGGAGACTATGAAGTATATTTCAGGCTGTCCCTAAGCTCTCCAGCAGAGCTTAGCTCCAGTGGTTCCTCATCAGACCCAGTAGTAGCTTTCCCTTCCTGGTGTCCCTCCATAACCCCCTCTCTAGTGTCAATGTCAGGATAACCAGAGTGACACCTACCATAAGCAGAGATGGCATCAGGGGTACATCCCTCATGGGCTCTGAGTACCTTTAGAGGACATGTCCACATCTTATCAAGTCAATGAGTATGTACCTACACCCACATTAATAATCATTCAGACGTGACTAGTAACTAACTGTTAATATATGTCTTGATTCTATAGACAGTTCTTTTTTGGTATGATGTATTTTATTATTTTTATTGTTTATTCTTATTGTTCAAGTACAGTTGTCTCCATTTTCACCCCCCCAACCCCAGCCATCTCCACCTCCCAGCCTTGAATCTACCCCCTTTGGCTTTGTCCATGTGTTCTCCACACATGTTCTTTGATGGCCTTTCCTATATTATCCCCTGTTATCCCTTTGTCCCCTCCTCTCTGATTACTGTCAGTCTGTTCTCCATTTCAGTGTCTCTGGTTGTATTTTGCTTGCTTGTTTGTTTTGTTGATTAGGTTCCACTTATAGGTCAGATCATATGATATTTGTCTTTCACTGCCTGGCTTATTTCACTTAGCCTAATGCTTTCCAGTTCTATCCATGCTGTTGCAAAGGGTAGGAGTCCCTTCTTTCTTTCTGCTGTGCAGTATTACATTGTGTAAATGTACCACAGTTTTTTAATCCACTCATTTACTGATGAGCACTTAGGTTGCTTCCAGCACTTGGCTATTATAAATTGTGCTGCTACGAATACTGGGTTGTATAGGTTCTTTTGAGTTAAACATAAGTCATGACACCATAAATGTCCTAGAGGAGAATATAAGCATGAAAATCTCAGACACTCCACTCAGCAATTATTTTACTGATATGTCCCTTAGACCAAGGGACATAAAGGAAAGAATAACCAAATGGGATATTGTCAAAATATAAAGCTTCTGCATGCCTAAAGAAAACAACATTGAAATGAAGAGAACCAATCATATGGGAAAACGTATTTGCAAATGATACCTCAGATAAGGGTTTGTTCTCCAAGATATGTAAGGAACTCACATGACTCCGCTACAGGAAGACGAACAACCTGATTAAAAAATGGGCAAGACAAATACCATATAATCTTACTTATAAGTGGAACCTAATCAGTAAAACAAAAGAGCAAGCAAAATATAACCAGATACCTTAAAACCATGAACAAACTGACCGTAACCAGAGGGCAGGTGGGAGGAGATATTTGGGGGATTAGAGGAAAGGGTTGTCAAGGAACATGTGTAAAGGACACATGGACAAAGCCAAAGGTGGGTAGGATTGAGGGTGGGAGGTAAGGATGGCTGGGGTGGGGGAGGGGAAGTGGTGGGGGGAAAATGGAGACAACTGTACTTGAACAACAATAAAAAATAAAAATAAAAATGATGTGCAAAGAGCTTGAATAGACACTTTGCCAAGGAGGACATACAGAAATCCCAGAGACCTATGAAAGGATGCTCAGCATCACTAGCCCTTGGATAGAAGCAAATTAAAACCACAATGAGATACCACTTCATGCCTATGAGAATGGCTATCATAAACAAATCAACAAACAAATGTTGGAGAAATTGTGGAGAAAATGGAACCCTAGTGCACTGTTTGTAGGAATGCAGACTGTGGAAAACAGCATGGAATTTCCTTAAAATACAAAAAATGAAACTGCCTTTTGACTCAGCAAAACCACTGTTGGTATTATGACCTAATAATCTATAGGCAGTTCCAAGCACACACATGTGTATATATGTGTGTATTTTGCATATATTCAAGGTTAAAAAAAAAAGTTTAACCTTTTCCCTCCTCAAACACTTCTGTAACTCCTTCAATGGCTCTAGGGGTCTGGCCACTAACTCTATAGGATCTGAAGAAATTGAATTAAGATCCAATTTATGGGCCTTGAGAGCTCTGGTGAGGAGCTGGAGGCTGGACGGCAGTTTCCACCGTGTCCGTTCCTGGTCCCTGGCCGTCGAGGGCATGGCGTGTGGGCATGGCGTGTGGGGCGACGTTGAAGCGGCCCATGGAGTTCCAGGTGGCGCTGCTGAGCCCGGGTTCCCCAAAGCGGCGGCGCTGCGCCCCTCTGCCCCGCCCCACTCCGGGCCTCAGGCCCCTGGACATCGAGCAGACGCGGCTTCAGATGCAGACCCCACCGCCGACCCTGCAGCAGCCGGTACCACCTGGCAGTGAGCAGCGCTTTCCAACTCCGGAGCAAATTTTTCAGAACATAAAACAAGAATATAGTCGTTATCAGAGGTGGAGACATTTAGAAGTTGTTCTTAATCAAAATGAAGCTTGTACTTCAGAAAGTCAGCCTCGCTCCTCAGCACTCACAGCACCTAGTTCTCCAGGTTCCTCCTGGATGAAGAAGGACCAGCCCACCTTTACTCTCCGACAAGTTGGAATAATATGTGAACATCTCTTAAAAGACTATGAAGATAAAATTCGGGAGGAGTATGAGCAAATCCTCAATACCAAACTAGCAGAACAATATGAATCTTTTGTGGAATTCACACATGATCAGATTATATGACGATATGGGACAAGACCCACAAGCTACGTGTCCTGAAGCTTTCTTGCATATCTGGGTACCAGGTTTGACCTCAAGAGATGGCTGCTGTGCACTTTTTGCAACTGGTTTGATATCACATTTCAGCTCCAACTTTGCATCCTCAGAACACTTAAAAAGTTTCTGCAGGTCCATTTTATACAACTTAAAAGACCTTAAAACTTTCTGGTTGCCAAAAGCATATATTTATTTTCTGCTCATCCAATAAACAGCTGTGCCCTACAGTGACAGATTTTTCAAACAAAATACCTGAAGCAGCAGTTTAGCAAAATATGCCGTCAGTGGCACTCAACAAATGGAGTTTCCCCAAGCACAGTTCTGTAAGAAGCGTGTGTATGAGAGTGTGTGTATATGTGTGTATGTTTATTTTAAGTTATTTTTTTGTATTGTGCAAATTACTTTGATCTTGGAGATTCTGGCTGTGAATTTGATGCAGGACAATTATGGTTTAAAAACATTTGCTTGGTCTATAGAAGATCATTAATGTTTTGTAACCATATAAGTTGTAACAGTGGGTTGTTTTATGTGTAGGTATTACTGTTAAATACAGGGACTGTTTCCAGGCACAGAATATGAATCATTCATTAGGCTGGACATTAGATGTAATTATGATGACATAGCAAAGGTCTGTGGCCCTAGGTCAATAAATACACAGTGAGGAATTAAAATGAACTGAAGACAGGCCGTTTGATACATGGACTTGCCTAGCCATGTCAGATACTTTGACTCCAAGCCTTAAAATACCCATGTGGAGTCTGTGCTCACCTCATTTACCCGAAGAGCTCCCTGGACACTGAACCTCTGGAAATAAGTCTCTCCTGGAGCAGCAGGAGCATCATTAGGGTTTGCGTGGGAGCATAGAACAGGTGAGCTCAGGGCTGGGCCAGCCCTGTCGGCACTGCTACTTGGGAAGAGCCACTTCACCTTTGTGTCAATTATTACCAATAGATTTGGATCCTTTGGTCAGGTTCTCCCGAATTCTTTTAAGAGGTGTCCATGTTCAATTGCTTGAGCTTTGTTTTGGCAACCCCTTGCCTGAAGTTGCTTACAGACTGTTCTTCACCTTGATTCCAAGGCTGAGGAACAGAAAGTAGCCTCTGTTTTGAGGAGGCGGAAATTAAGTATACATTTATTTTTTACTGTGACTTGTTCAGGACCACATTTTACAAAATGCCTTGTTTCATTTATTATTGTTTTTGGAAAGAAAAGTTCTATTAAAATTGTTTTAGTTTGAATATAGAATAGTTTTTTTAATTACAGCTTATTTTGAAAAGTTCTGAGTGTAATTCAAATGTATGCCAATACAAGTAAGGTAATATTCAGAGACAGTTCTGATCAGATGGCTTAGAGAAATTTCTGGAGTATTCACATTGGAAGTTTCCGTATCAATGAATGTCTTTGACTTAAATCTAACCAAAAACTGCAATGCTATTCTTTGTACATTTTCATTATATAGTGTTAACAAGCTTAGTTGCAAATGAATAAAATACTTAAGCTATTTGTTTAAAAAAGATCCAATTTATGATTCTATATATGTAAATTTAGCCATTTTTTGATGTAATGTTAAAGCTTTTCCCTTATTATAGCCATTTGGGCTGTGAGTAAATGACAATAAAAATTTTTAAATTATGTTTTTAGTTATAGTTTACATTCAGTATTATTTTACATTAGTTTCAGGTATACTGAATAGTGGTTAGACAGTTATACAATTTACAAAGTGATCCCTTTGATACAAGCACTTCATCTCCCTTCCATTCTAAACGATAGCTTTGCTGGATAGGGTAATCTTGGATATAAGTCCTTGCATTTCATGACTTTGATACAAAGTTAATACAGTTTTATTATGTGGTGTACTTCATATCCTTTTGACTATTTTTGTACCAATTTGTTCTTCTTAATCCATTTGCCTCTTTCAACCAAGCCCCCCAATTCCCATCTCCTGTGGTAAACAAACTTTTTAATCCACTCATCTACTGATGGGCACTTGAGTTGTATCTTGGCTTTATATTGTACATATCTTGGCTAATATAAATTACACTGCAATGAACGCAGGGGTATATGTATATTTTTGAACTAGTGTTTTGGATTTCTTTTGATAAATACCCAGAAATGGAATTAGTGGGACATAGAATAGATTTGTTTTTGATTTTTGAAGAATCTCTGCACTGTTTTCTCTAGTGGCTGAACTAATTTGCAATCCCACCAACAGTGCATGAAGGTTCCCTTTTCTCCATATTCTCATCAACACTTATTTCTCAATTTATTGATGATAGTTGTTCTGACAGGTATGAGGCAATATTTTATTGTGATTTTATTTTTAAAGTATATTTTATTGATTATGCTATTACAGTTGTTCAATTCTTTTTCCCTTTATTTCCCTATGCCTATACACTCCTTCCCACTAGCGTTCCACCACCCCCGTTAGTTCATGTCCATGGTTCCTATGTATAAGTTCTTTGGCTTCTCCATTTCCCATACTATTCTTAACCTCCCCCTGTCTATTTAGTACCTACAATTTATGCTTCTCATTTCCTGTACCTTTTCCCCCATTTTGACCAATCCCTCTCCTTGCTGATAACCCTCCATGTATCTTCAATTCTGTGATTCTGTTGCTGTTGTAGTTGTTTGCTTAGCTTTTGTTTTTTAGGTTCAGTTGTTGATAGTTGTGACATTGTTGTCATTTTACTGTTCATATTTTTTTATGTTCTTTTTCTTAGATAAGCCCCTTTAACATTTCTTAGAATAAGGGCTTGGTGATGATGAATTTCTTTAACTTGACCTTATCTAGGAAGCACTTTATCTGCCCTTCCATTCTAAATGATGGCTTTGCTAGATACAGTAATATTGGATATAGGTCCTTGCCTTTCATGACTTGGAATACTTTTTTCCAGTCCCTTCCTGACTGCAAGGTTTCTTTTGAGAAATCAGCTGATGGTCTTACAGGAACTACTTTGTAGATAACTGTCTCCTTTCCTCTTGCTGCTTTTAAGATTCCCTTCATATCTTTTGGTGTGAACACTGGCCCACAGTGTCCGTGGCATTATGGATGAGATACAAGACAAATTCACATGGACTACTGAGTCCTGAGGATGACAAGAAATGGCACGGCTACTCTCTCAAGGGGAGAGTGCCCCAGACCCTTGCCTGGACAGGCTTTTACTGGGTTCAATTAACACAGGAATACAGGTAAAAATCATTAATCATCGTCAGGCAGTAAGGATCAAACAATAGATAGCATACAAAGAACTACCAGGGCCTATTCTGAGTCAGAGTTTGTTAGTTAAAGGGCTACAAAACTTTGGGAAACAAACTCATTTCCTTCTTGGACCCTTATTTAATTGAGAGCATTCTTAGCAAAGCAGGTTTCACAGGATTTTAGTATTCTTTCTTAGGCCTGATCACCCTGGGGAACCTGCCCTGTCCAGCAAAAGGCTGCACCACCACCTGTCATTGTTTCAGGCTTAAGTCAGGCAGGGGAAGTAAGGCAGCCAAGAGATTAGGAGACTTCTTGCAGACAGAGTGAGGATTCAGGCTATGTCAAAGCTGAGGGGTGAGGGTCCATCGCCCTCTTTTGCTATACCCCCCAAGTCCTTCCCTGGGGCCTCCCCATGATCATGCCTGTCTTAGGTCTTTCCCCCCTTGAGGAATCTTACCTGTCACTGGCTAACTGATCAAGCATTGGAGCCATTTATGGATGAAGTAAAAGGAGCAAAATCAGTACTCTGGCCAGAGAGATAAGCTTTGTATCCTTAGAGATAAGCTTTGTATCCTTAGTGAAGGTCACTCCCTCAGCCTTAGCCATGGGGGTAGTTATAGCTTCTGACACCAGGCAGGGTGGTTCCCTATAATCTTTGATCTTGGGTAATGTGATTTATGATGTGCCTTGATGTGTGCTTCCTTGGGTCCAAATTTTTTGTGATTCTCTGAGCTTTCTGGACTTCCTGGAAGTCTATTTCCTTTGCCAAATTGAGAAAGTTCTCCTTCATTATTTGTTCAAGTAAATTTTCAGTTTCTTGCTCTTGTTCTTCTCCTTCTGGCACCCCTATGATTTGGATATTGGAACATGTAAAGTTATCCCAGAAATTCCTAAGTCTCTCCTCATTTTTTTTGAATTCTTGACTCTTCATTCTGTTCCAGCTGAATATTTCTTCCTTTTGCTCCAAATCAGTAATTTGAGTCCCAATTTTCTTCTCTTCACTGTTGGTTCTCTATATACTTTTTTTTATTTCACTTTGAATAGCCCTCACTTTTTCCTCTATTTTTTGACTGTACTCAACCATTTCTGTGAGCATCCTGATTACAAGTGTTTTGAACTCTGCATCTGAGAGGTTTGTTATCTCCTCATTGCTTAGTTCTATTTTTTGAGTTTTAATGTGTTCTTTCATTTGGGTCATGTTTCTTTATCTCAGCACTGTTGTTATGCTATAAGGGGCAGAGCACTAGGTAATGCCTGGGCAGGGCAAAGCACATTGCTATATTGTGGTGCTGCATGTGGGGGAGAGGTCAGAGAGAGAGAGCAATGCTCCTTTCAGTCACTTTTCCCACAACACACAAGCAAATTGGGCCCTTCTGGTGTTGATTCCCAGGTGGGTGGTTTGTATACATTCTAAGACCCTGTCATTCTCTCCAAGAAATTCTCCTGTGATACTGGAAGTTTCTCCTGTTGCCGCAACCCCCACAAGTTTTTATAGCCAGAGGTTTTGAGGCTTTTTTTCCCCATACTGGAACCCTGGGTTGCATGATCTGTGTCACTCCCCAGTTGTTCCACTCGGTTTGTTTGTGTGCAAATATGGGACCACCCAGCCCTTCAGCTGTTTCCTTGACACTTGTCTTCTCTGCCCTGGTTGCCTGTCATCCCCTACGTGGACCACGGCTAGTGAAGTCCACAGAATTGTACCTGAGACAAAACAAATTCATATGGTCTGTGGAGGAAAAGGGATGGGTTGCTTCTCTCTCAAGAGGAGAAAAAAGCCTGGCCCTTGCCTTGACGAGCCTTTATTGTTTTTCTGGGCACATTACATGATGGTCCTCATTATCTATGCACAGGTTCACTTTAGGTGGGTACATTGTACAGAAAACAAAGGGAATGATGCTGCTAATCACATCACAGAAGAAGGATATTTGCAAATGCAATGGGAAATGTGGTTGAACTAGTTACACTCCATACTGGGGAGGTTTAGCACAGACTTTGGGAAATTACGATAAGCACTTGTTACCTCAATTCAGGGTGAGAGAGCTTTAGCAAAAGCAGGTCTCAACTCAGCCTAGGTACAATGCAGGCCTGATTCCCCATGGGAGAACATATCCATAGGCATGGATCCTGTACATCTCCAAGTGGGAGCTGGGCCCATGCCGCACAGAACGG